GACGTACGCTATCCTATCAATCAAACACTAACGGTTAAGCTGAGATTATCGTAATGCGCTAGCGCCATCAACTTAGAATATTGTCAAGTATAACTGCAATTAAGATTATTACTTACAAAAACAACATAGCACTTCTATTACAGCTATATGAACTACGTTAGCTAGCCAGCTACTCAGTTTCCGACATTTCCGAGATTCATTTCTTGGTCATGTTCGGAAGCTGTCGCTGATGCTGGTAGTTCACCCTCGATTACACCTGAGTTCTCATCGGTACAGCCAAATAAATTGTTCAAGAATGGCAGATTCAACTCCTTGATATTCAGGATTTCTGGTGCACCGACTGAAAGGAAATAAATTAAATAAAAATTGGAAATGTATGTAAATTTGAGGAGGTACCGTGAAGACTTTGAGAGGGGAATGCATCTCGATACCTCTGTAGTTTGAAAGCATATCCGAACTACAGGATCCCCTAGATCCAGCCAAAAGGTGTTTCACTTCATCAGTCATGTCTGGTACCAACCACCTTACCTTATTTTGACGATCGTCTTGGGTGGATCCCACTAAAACACTACGCACCAACTTTCCCTCCTGTCCCTACTTACCTCCTTACGGACTAAAACCTTCAGACATTATTTGGCCTAGTGCTACTAGTCACAACCAAATAGGTATAACTGCCAGGTGAAAGCGCGCCATGATCTTCTTGATTCACCGAAAAAGGAAAACTAAATGATCAATCCCCGGGATTCGCCTTCCCCTGGATACTCACTCTGGAGGGGACAACTTTCGGTAATCGACTAGCTCTCTATTTTCCTTAATCTTCTTCCTCCATCTAATCTAAAACACACCAAAACTAATCAGGCTCCTCATTTCCTACTTTAATACAATCGCTTCTCAAAACCACTCAGGAGATCCTCATGGCCCATGTTCACTATTCTACTCTTGATTACATCCGAGAATTACGGCAGAATTTCATAGGTGGGTTGTCAGGCGAAAAATCGACTCAACAAGAAGGGATAGGGAGTAAAAACCAAGAACGAGACTTTTCATAGTAGGAACAAACACTACTTACCAGTCGGTTGCATATCTTCTTTCGGCTCTTCTGATGGGATTTCCTGTTTGATCTGGGAGTTCATGTTCATCATCATGTGATGACTAAGAATGTTTTGCGTCATCATATCGGCCATAAATCCACCACCCGTCAACGAGTTGTTCAGGCTATTCAGCTGATGTCGTCCCATATTAGATAGGCTACCGGCTGGTAATCCTAGTTCAATTTCCTAAACAGCAAACATTCAGAAAAGACAAAATCATCAAGCC